AAAAAAAAAAAAAAAAGAATATTTAAGAAAAGTACTGTTGCATTAAGATTTAGCGCTGACATAAACGTTACCAACAAGAGTTTTGGAATGCCTCTGACTTGTGAATACTCTCATACCTGGGAATTCTACTTTCACAGAAAAAAAAAAAAAGAATGCGCTAAATTACTCCCTGTCTTTCGTAAGTAAAAACTATTTTAAACAGACTTAAATCCTAATGATAAAAATTCCAAACTAAGATCGCCAAAGGGACTTCTGATTCGCCGGGGCTCCTCTGCCTAGAATTCTGAGTTCAACCAGCGCCATTCACAGTACATCTTCCGCTGGCAGCACACACTTTGGGGAACGGTAGCAGGAGTGCGTACCGTCAACCTCTGGCGGTGGGCACGGGGGCCTCTATCTTTCAGGTCCCAGTTCTCCCACCTGGAGGGAACCCAGTACCTGAAGCCGACTGGTTGTAGCTGACAGCCTCCCCAGCACTTTCCTTACTCTTCCTCAAGTTGCTAGTAAAACCCGGAGAAGCGGCCTTCTTTCAGATCCGGCCCGACTCTCAGGCCTCACACCCAGAGGCCTGAGGCAGAGGGAGTGGTAGCAGAGAGGGGGTGGGGAGGGAGCGGGGCCGAAGTGACTGAGCATGTGCGAGGAGGGGCGCATGCCCAGTGCGGCCGGCAGCTTCCCATTGCGGGTGGCTCAGGCGGTGGCAGCGGTGGCGGCGGCGGCAGCGGCAGCGGCAGCGGCAGCAGCGGCGGCACCGCCTCCTCCTCATACTCCCGGGGTGGCGAGGTTAGATGAGCGGCCCCAGTAGTGGTGAGGGCAGCGCGGGGGGGGGGAGGAAAAGAAGGAGGAGGAGGAGGTTTCTGTCTTTGTAGTCTCCCTGCTGTGGAGCGAGAGGCCGCCGCCGGAGCCGTCGTCGTTGGAAAAGGGCTGTGTGTGCGCGCGCGTGTCTGCCTGCCTGTCCCGCGGGGACGAGGCGGCGGCGGCTGCAAGGATGATGATGTGCGCAGCGACTGCCTCTCCCGCCGCCGCCTCTTCGGGGGCCGGTGGGGACGGATTCTTCCCTGCCGCCACCATCTCTTCTTCCCCGGCGCCGGGGGCGCTGTTCATGCCGGTTTCCGAGGGCTCCTTGGCGGCCACGGGGCTGGGGCTCGGGCTGCCGGCCGCGGACTCCCGGGGTCACTACCAGCTGCTGCTGTCAGGCCGGGCCCTGGCCGACCGCTATCGGAGGATTTACACAGCTGCGCTCAGTGACAGGGACCAGGGGGGTAGCAGCGCTGGACACCCGGCCTCCAGGTGCGTCTCCGGGTGCCCTTCGTTGCGCCACATGCTGCATGTGCGCTCGAGTGTGTGTGTCTGTCTGTCTACATACGTATTCACTGAGCTGTCTTTCAGCAAGCGCTTGATGCTAGGTGGTAGAATCACTTATTGAGATAGGAGGGTGCGGTGGCGGCAGTTTCTGTTCTAAGTGTGTGTAACTGTCTTTGTAGGGGGCAAGAGAGGGTGGGAGGGGAGCTTGTGATGCTAGAAATGGTGGTGGTGCGGGTTGGTTATGACACGTGTATGTGTATTGTTGAAGGAGGAGAGATGAGCAGAGGGTAATGCACCAAGAGAATTTGCAAGAGCGATGAGGGAAGTGTTGTTCCCAGTGTCTCTGCCGCAATGGTATTTGCACGGATTTCTCATAACCCCTCCCCCCACCCCTTCATGACATTCCATCCTCACCTCTCCGCCTACTGTAAAAAAAAATCTGCCTTTCACTGAGGGGGGTGATGGTATCCGTTAAGGATAATGTCATATATATAGGATGAGTTTTAGATAATCAGCCTGTAGGATAAGGCATGGGGTTTCAATTTAAGAGATTTATGCGAAAGGGATGCAGTTGGAGGTTTAGGTGGCTGTGAAAGCTGTCTGATACAGATTTTTAGAGCTGTACTTTGATAAGTGGACCTTTTGGTCCTCTAGAGATGTGGTTGCAGCAGTGCTTGTGTTCTGTTGTCCCATCGGCCATTTCCCTTCATCTTCTGTTCTATTTCCTCTGCCACTTTTCGGCTTTAGAGTGCAGGAGGGTGGTTTATGGGGAAAAGGGGAAACCTGAAGAACTTCAAAATATGACAGCTGGTGTAGTGATCAACTGACACCAACTGGAAAATTTGAGTAGCTCCTAGATCTCTTCCTAGGCTTGGTGCACCTTCAGCTCCCGCGATGGAGGAGATGTTAAACCACTTTCATTTTCTTAAAATGTGGGTGTCGTTTTGCTTAAGGCTCTCCTGTTGTTTTCCTTTCCGTGCTCTTACATGCCACATACCTTGAAGGATGGTGACTGACTTGTTTCACCAGCTTACCTTTGGCAGTGGTAATTGGGAGTTGGCTTCATCTTTTTTTTTTCTCACACCTTCTTGCAATACATAGGGAAAGCATAGTAGGATTTTGTCAAATAAGTTACAGTTTACTGTATTTATTGAATATGTAGTTTGTTCGGTAATAACCAGATGCCGTTTTCTCTCATTATGAGAGGGGCTAGGCTGTGAGTCAGGTATTTGTGGTTGACCAGTATGTACTGTGGCTCTTATCCACTGCAGAGAGTTGTAAAGATGGAGCTTTCTTCACACGTTTTCTGGGTAAACCACTCTTCTCGTGTGTATAATTGTTTACAGGATTGGAACTTGAGTAGTTTTATCATACTGGTATAAATGTGTGTAACTAACTACCCTTTGCTATGTAAACTGAAGGCCACAATGGCACGTCTGTTTCTTGCTGATGCTTTTGAAAATAGCACAAAAATCTCAATAGACAGTTTGCTCTAATGATTAGGTATAATTTGGAGCTGTGAGTCTGTATATTATGGCATCATAGGTACATCTTTACAAACTCCTCTCAAAGAATTTGAATTTATTTTGTGTGTTGTTTCCAGACTTATGCAATAATTTGTGACTGGTATGTTCCCTGTTTTAACTCTGTACTACTATACTTGTGTAATAATACAGTTTCTGTGTATTTAGAACTGTATAAACAGTTTTAGACAAAATTAATATAGATTAACCACATATATAAAGTCTATGAATGATTTTTAGTCTTTGGTCAATTTTTGTACAAGCTGTCAATTAAAATTAGTGAAGAATTAATTCAAGTACTGTATTTCAAGAAGTACTAATGGAAACGAGCCTTAAGTTGTGTGATATTGCCTTCTAGTGCTTGTTCAGAACATGATTGTTTATTATACTTCACATTATTTTTTCTAAGTCTTGGCCTGCAGCTATTCTTTATTGAGGATTTGCTTAAGAATTCAGTCACATTTCTTATTAACTCTGAATGGGGAAATTGGAGCTGGGATTTCGGTTCTGACTGAATGATGTAATTATTTGTATGGGGCACTAGTTGAGTTAGAGGAGAAGATGAAATGTTTCAGAGACAGAGAATGGAGCAAGAATAGAGGGTGAAATTCTAGTGAGAATCAAGTTTAAAGCTGTGAGAGAAAGGAGACAGTGAAGGAAGCTGAAAAAAGATTTAAAAAATTAAGAAGAGAACTGTGGGACAGTGGCACCTCCGGTCCTAAGAAAGTGGATTGAAAGTCCTCGACAGGGATAAATGTTGAAGAAAGTGAGAACACTTTCCAGGTCGCTGATGACTTTTGAGGAAGTGGTCAAGATTCTGTGGAAGAGAGATGTGGCTGCGGAGTCAATGGGATATTTTGGGGTAATGGGGAGATGGTTGAGGGAAGGATATTTGAGTATGGGAGGGTGGGTGGGAAACATTCAGTAAGTGGAGAAGGAGAAATTAAAGAAGTTAGAGAGGGGCTAAATGATGGTGAGAAGTCTAAGGGAGATCTCAGGGACAGGTTTAACATGACAGGTGGAGAGGTTAGCCACTAAAGAAAACGTTAGGAGCTAGTCATCCTTTAATATAGAAGGGGAGGATAAATCTAAAGACTAGGAATTAAGAACTGTATCCTATTCGTTTTGGTAATCCCAGTGTCTAGCACAATTTTTGGCATCTGTTCTGTAAATATCCAGTGCCTACTGTGTGCCAGGCACTGTTTTAGGTGCTGAAGCTGTAACAGTGAGCAGGATAGACTAGGTCTCTACTCTGTTTGGAACTTCCACTCCAATGGGGAGAAATAAGCAACTGATCATTTCAGGTAGTGGTAAGTAACCAGGAAGGAAATGAACCCAGTTGCACGTGATAGATGATTTGTAGTTGGCGGGAGCTGGGGGTGTATTTTAGGTAGGGTGGTCAGGATGGGTCTCTTTGTGAGTTGGCATTTAAGTTGAGTCATAATGATTGGAAGGCAGAACTAGAGGAATGGTGTTCTAGGAAAATATAGTCTCTGACGCAGAAACAAGGTTGTGTTCAAGGAATGAAAACAAGGCGAGTGAGTTATCAGTCAGTGTTGAATAAATTAATTACTATGGATTATGTTTTAGGTGTAGGTAGAGAAGTTAAGGGATGGCAGCCTAATGGTGCCAGTGACTTTGATGGCCTTGCAGTGAATGCTTGGATTCTGAAGCTGGACTGGTTTTAGATGCTGGCTTTGCCACTTTTTAGCTGTGTGACCTTGGGTGCATTACATAACTCCTATACCTAAGTTTTTGGCTTAAAAAATATTTTTGAGATATAATTGGCATATACCATTCTATCAGTTGTAGGTGTACAACATAACCATTCCATATTTTGAGAAATGACTACCACATAAAGTCAAGTTAACATCCATCATCACACATAGTTGAAAGTTTTTTTTTCTTGCGGTGAGAGCTTTTGAGATCTACTCTCTTAGCAACTTTCAAATATACAGTCTAGTATTATTAACTATAGTCACCATGCTGTACATTACATCCGCATGACTTATTTATTTTATAACTGGAAGTTTTTCTTTGTACCTTTCAACTCCCTTTGCCCATTTTGCCCATCTCCCACCCCCTGCGTCTGGCAAACATGAATCTCTCCTCTGTATCTATGAGTTCAGTTTTGTGTTTTGTTTTGTTTTTTTTTTAGATTTCACTTATAAGTGAGATTATATGGTATATGTGTCTTTCTCTGTCTGACTTATTTCACTTACCATAATGCCCTCAAGATCCATTCTTGGTGTTGCAAATGGCAAGATTTCCCTCTTTTTTATGGCTGAATAATATCCCATTTATTATATATATCACACCTTCTTTATTCATCTATCAGTGGACATTTAGGTGGCTTCTTGGGTATTGTAAATAATGCTGCAGTGAGCATAGGGGTGCAGATATCTTTTCAAGTTAGTGTTTTCATTTCCTTTGAGTATATTCTCAGAAGTGAAATTGCTGGATCATATGGTAGTTCTATTTTTAATTTTTTGAAGATCCTCCCTATTGTTTTCCGTAGTGGCTACATCAATTTACATTCCCACCAACAGTGCGTAAGAGTTCCCTTTTCTCCATATCCTTGCCAGTACTTTTTATTTCTTGTCTTTTTGATAATAGTCATTCTAACAGTGTAAAGTGATATTTCATTGTAGTTTTGATTTGCATTTTCCTAGTGATTAGTGATGTTGAGCATCTTTTCATGTACCTGTTGGCCATTCATGTATCTTTTTTTGGAAAAATGTTTATTCAGAGCC